TCATTGAAGCTTTTCACCTCCGAATACTTTAAAAATGAACCGATCGACTTGAAATTTGGCAGATAGTTAAAGAAAAGGTCAATGAACATTAGTGACATAGCGCGGATTAACGCTTCCACCCTGTTGGGGATGGAAATTTTTTTTTTCAAAAATAACTGGAAATCGATAAATTCAAATTTTGAGCAAAAAATATTCGAAGAATTTTTTCGAGAAATCAATAGTTTTTTAGTTATTAACGATTGAAAACTTGGAATTTTGAGTGAAAAAAACACTTTTTCAATGTATTTTTCGCAAATAACTCAAAAACTATGCATTTTATTCAAAAAATAGTGTGAAACAAAAATGTAGCTTATAAATAAACAAAGAAAATCGTTTTTTTAAAAAATGTTGTACGTCCTATACAAAGCGAAATATGGTTAGTTGAAGGGGACTTGTTTTGGGAGGAATACTCGAATCCATGTATTCAACATCAAATAACGGAAAAAGGATTAATTTTACGTGTATAACGCCCCTGAAGTTTTTTGTAGTAGGTACTCAAAAAGACCTTCAAAATGAGTACTTATAAAAGTTATTTAGAGCAAAATTGAACGAGTTATCGTCAAAAACAGATGGGTTGCTCATATTTTGTAAGGAAAAATTAGCAGTAAACGCTGTACCATTTCCATCAGAATTAAAATTAATTGTAGACCCTTTACAATTAGTTTTGTTTTAGTGTTTTTCATACGATCCTGAAGTTAGACCGGTTTAGAATGCGTATTTTTTTAATAATGTACGGTAAGAGTTGAACACGTATTTCTCATTATTCAAAAAAAAATGCCTTATTTATATAATAACTCTGAAACTATGAAAGATACCTACGTAAAAAATGATAGACAACAATAACGTAGCTTTTTTTCAACAAATATTTTGCTTTTTTTATTCCTATAGCATAAAAAATAAAGGAGATATCACCGCTTGAAGTATCTATTTTAGTGAAAAAACGACCTGTTTCGAGCCCTTCGATCCTTTGCCTTTAAAAAACGAAGGACTTAAAAGGTTTTATATGCAAGCGATCTTACAGCTCTTGAAATTATATAATGCTTTTTTGTAAGATACTACAGCTTCAAAATTAACCGAGTTATGGTAAAAAAGCCAATGACATTTTTTCGGGGCAAAATAGGCTTTCTAATTTTTATATATTATATTATATTATACAAATAAAATAAGTAAAAAAATTTAGTGTGATTATTTATATGCAGCATAGCAATTTTTTTTATGATTGTTTATATTTAAAAATCGATTATAATAAAAATATTTTACATTAATATTGGTAAAAGGGTAGTTTATAAGAGTTGAAAATGGCAAAAATAAAATATTCTTTCATAAACAATATTTAGGGGAATAGGGAATTTTATTTTAAATGATTGCACAATTATAGCATTCCAAGATTTAAAATGTAATTTTTTATCATTTTTTTTAGCACAGGGGTGATTTAAAAGGGTTGAAAAGTGTTATGAAATACGAATTCTTTCATAAGCAATGAGGAAATTTTTATTTTAAATAATTCCACCGTTAAAGCATTCCAAGCTTTTAAAAAGTAATTTTTTATCATTTTTGTCAATACAGGGGTGGTTTTTAGGGGTTGAAAGGGAAAAATTATTTTATTAGCTATAAGGTAACTTTTATTTTAAATAATTGCACGATTTAATAATTCCAAATCTTTAAAAAGTAATTTTTTATCATAATTTTTTGCATAGGGGTAGTTTTTAAGTGTTAAAGAAAGGGTAGAAAAGATCAAATATATCATAAAACATGTTCGAGAACATGGAACATTATTTTATATTTGTGATTAAACAAGATTTTTATTAATAAAATGCTTAAAATAATTTTTGCTGCAAGCACTGATTTGCTTCCACAAAGTATTGTGAACGTTTGATTAATAATTACCGAACTGACGCCAGAAATCTCATTAAGTTCGCGTTTGTTAACTTTTATTGGAATATTTTTTTTTTTTTAAACTAATTATTTTGACATCATCTGTATTCCCTTAAGTGTTGTTTATTTATTGGCACTATTTATCCAAGTTAAGGTTGCTTCAAGTTTTCTTAAAAAAGTAAAATAGTAGTATAAAACTTTTTATAGGTTAGTTTGAAGAGCACAAAAATAGCTATATTTTGATGCCAAAAAGAATTCGAGATCTTTTTTTGTTATCAAGTTATTCGCAAATTAATAAGCAAAAAATAAATAATGATAATGAATTGAGGAACATGACGCTAACGAAGAGACATTTAATTACTAAAGCAAAATGTGTTTATAAAATAACCTACCTAAATCCACGCAAATGAGGGCATCAATAACAATCTTGAAAATAATAACAAAAACAATAACAAACAGATATTGATATTATGTAACGAAAGAACAATTAAATTTTACCAAAAGTAAAGATGACTGATTTCAAATATTATATATATATTATATTTCAATTAAATAGGGAGGTACCGGCAATAGCACTAAGAACCCTAGGAAGTTGACGCCTTTTGAAAATTCACTTTCTGTGAAAAATCTCCATTATGATTTTCACATAGGATACCATGACACGACTGTTTACAAAATTAGCCATTTAGCCAATACTCGCTCGTATTGAACGACTGAGTAGGGACATACCTTTACCAAGCCCTTCAATAAATCCGATTAATTAAAAAGGTTTTTTTCTGGAAATACAATTTTAAATACATACAATGTAATCATCCAATGTAAAGTCCGAATAAATCAATGTCACATATTTTTTTCACTAAGTAGAAGACACAAAGCCCTCAAAAGTATACAACATTTCTCCGACAATGATTTTTTTATATCTTTTCATGATTACACTGGACTTAAAAGCGTTTTATTAGAAAAAGTATTCTATGACATTTTTCCCGAAACGAGTTTCTAGTTGGTTTAGATATAGTGAAGTTGTTGGTAAGGGTAATGTAAGTTACAGTAATTAAGGTGCCCAGGGTGTTTTGTGGATAATAATCACCGATGTTAACAACGTACTTCCTGAGGACCTCTGACTCTAAAGGATAGGATGTACGTCGACCGATAATATTATTATCCTTTAACACCCGTGATGCCTTCAACGTTTAATCATCCACTACTATTTTCATTTAATCCGATAATTTTATTGCTTATGTGTGACATTTGCTTGACATTTGTGTTTTGTGTCTCTATTGACGTTTATAAATGTTAGTGGTAATTTCTATTATTGAATTGATTTATTTCTATGGAATTGCGTTTTTAATTTACTCTAGGGCATTACATACAGTGTGTCCCGTTTTTCAGGTTAACACCTCTGGAAATGTGAGAAGGCTGTGGATTTTCCGCAAGCCAATTGTTTTACAAATAATACCCTGTTGGGAGGTTATATTCTATTAATCATTTTATTGATGTGACAAAAGCCTGGCCTACTACGATTTTTTAAAAGGGTCGTTTTTTCAGAAAGTAGTGTTAGGCATTTTTTATCAAAAAGATAATATTACCGGGCTATTCAACACCCATCAAAATACCCATATACCAAATTTGAACGGCAAATGTCTATGGAGTGTTTTTTTATGTGGTGCCAAACTTCGAAAATTCAAACAACTAAAAATTATAATAAGCAGGTCAAAGATTGCCATGAAAGTGAAAACAAGCACCAATCGGGCAAAGAAAAAATACCGGCATTATAAATTTAAAACTTTTCATTATATTAATTAATTATAAAAAATAATAACTTACAGAAAATGTAATGAATTAAAAACACTAAGTTATTAAACAAAAAAATTGCTAAATTAAATTTTAGTTTTCTCCACCAAACCTTCTTCCAGTCGAACACATTTTTCCAATCGTCTTCTTAAATTTAAAAATAATTTACATAGCTGTTGTGGAGTAATCTCTGCAAAAGCTTGTCTTATGCAATTAATTAGGTCATCCACATTCCTTGGTCTGTTTTTATAAACTTTTTGTCTTATAAAACCCCAAAAGTAAAAGTCTATAGTTCGAGAAAACTAAAATTTAATTTAGATTGTTTTGCAATTTTTTGTTTAACAATTTAATATGTATTTATAGTTCATTAAGACCTACATTTTTTGTGCGTTAATTAGTACCTATTTTTATTGTGGCCGCAATTAAAAGTGTTAAATTTATAGTGTCTGTATTTTTTCTTTGTCCGATTAGTACTTGTTTTCACTTTCATGGCAATCTTTGACCTGCTTATTATAATTTGTAGTTGTCTGATTTTTCGAAGTTTGACACCACATAAAAAACACTCAATAAACATTTGTCGTTCAAATTTGGTATATGGGTATGTTGATGAGTGTTGAATAGCTTGGTAATATTATCTTTTTGATAAAAAAAATGCCTAAACCACTATCTGGAAAAGCCGCCTCTTTAAAAAATCGTAGTAGGCCAGACTTTTGTTACGTCAATAAAATGATTAGTAGAATATAACCTCCCTTCAGGGTATTATTTGTAAAAAAAATGGGCTTCCGTAAAGTCCACAGCCTTCTCACATTTTCAGAGGTGCTAACCTGAAAAACAGGACACTGTATTTATTCAAAATGCTATTTTTAATGTATCTCAAAATGGGGTAATTATTAGATACAATTGCAATTATTTTTTTACATCATCATTAACCGAAGTTTCATCACTCCAATATTATATTCTGTCCTAACACTCTGTATAACATTTTATATGAAATTTCATTATTGTTATTTGTTATCAAATTGTTATTATTATTTTTACATAATTGTGAATATCTTATTGCGGATATTCTTAGATTTTCTTTTATTGTGTGTGTTGCCAACGTGAAATAAAATTAAGTCCTAGACGTCGCGTCTGAATTAAGGGCTTGTCCGGGTCAATAAAGACCCCATTTTATTTGATGCCGATTACCGCTATAACTCCGGGATTAAAAATAAAAATAAACGAACCGGCAATGATTTCCTGCAATCCCTTTTTAGTTGGCACGATAAATCTGAACCTTTGTTTGTTTGTTCCAGCAATGAAAGGGGAAATAATAAACTGCTCGGCTCACAAAGACATTTACTTTTTGGAGACCAACACGAAAAACGAGGTAACTACCGTATACATTTAACTAATTGCTTCCATTCCCAATTAGTGTTCTTGATTTCTGTCCTTCGCAGGAGTGATTTATCCCGCAATTTTTTATCCTTTCAGGAGGCGAAAGCGAACTTGGCAAACTTTTGATTTTCGCCTTTCTCCCCGATGACAAAAAGGGATGAAATATCGAGCGAAGTGCTAAAGTTGATATTGAAGGGAATTAGTAACTGTAGCTCCAAATTACTAAACCGTTTGTTCGCAAGAATATCTCCCCAATTTTTTTTATTTCAGTAACAGTATTTAGTAACTTCGCGTTTGCTTTTGAGATTTGTTTAGTTCGATTCTACCAAGTGCAATAAAAAAAATGATAGGTGTGAGAGGGTTCTGTGATGAAAAATACTTTGACGTGTTATACACAAGGCACAGAAATTAGGGGATATTAAAAAAATCCCAAAACTTTGGGTGATTTTCAAAGAGTGTAACTTGGAGGGAAATGGTTGTAGAGAGAATTTAAAAAAAAAAAGGAAAATGAAGCTTCCAGTGTCTACTTTTCGGATCTTTAAAATTTTTTAGCATTAACAGTTTTTGAGTAATCATAAGAAAATCAACGCAAAAAAATGTTTGCTTTCTTTAAAAAGGCCTATGGACTTGAAAAACTTTTTTTGGTAATTTCATCATGAAGCTCTTTTACATAATTTAATTCTCTTCAATTTGGGTGGTTCCGGAGCCTTGTACGATTATTTGTCGCTAAGTTATCGTCAATCAAAGCAAAAAAAAATCATTTTTGACTTTGGCAATCAATTACTCGGGAAATAATGGTCGTACAGAAAATCCAAGCAGGGTTCTGAAAACTGCAAAGTATTCTCTACAAGTCGTAATTATTGGTTTTTGATAAAAAAAAATTTTAAGTTTAAATGTTGGTTAGAAAAAGGTAAAAAATTGCATAATTATATGCAATTATTATATTATATTTGAATAACTTGGCATAACTGCAAATAATGAATAAACTAAGGATATCGATTGTAACTTTTCAACCTCAAAGTGTCCTAAAGAAACCCTGATAATTTAAAAAGCTGCTCCTTAAAATTTTCGACCGAAAGATCTAAAAACTAGAATCTTCGAGCTTCAAAATGCTTTTTTTTTCATTCTCAATACGACCATTTTTCACTTAAATACAGTCTGTCAAATATCACGGAAAAATTTCGGAAATTCTTTTGACTCTTTAATTGTTTGGTTTAGTGTATATTTTCTTCATAAAAAAAAAACGTTAATGATTCTAAAAAAAAATTAAAAACAATATTTTTTCAAAAATAATTTGCTTTCATAATATCCGCAATCTTCACAAACGTTAAAAAAATTTGGTGGATCACAATTTAATATCAGGTATTGCTGGCTCTGTACCGCCGGATGTGTCGTTCCGTAATTCCTTGCCAAGTTTGTAAAAGTGCCTGGGTCAATGAGTGATGATGATTTTGTAATTGCGGATAGTCATCATCGACGCCCGAGCATGTCCTAAACATGCCCAATGGGGTTCAAGTCGGGACATAGGTGGGTGGTTGAGAGTTACCACATTGTTGGCGTGAAGAAACTTTCTCGTACGTTTTGTGGTACGAAGATGAGCATTATTCTGCATGAAAATGAAACGATTCTTCATGGTTGTACGCAGGGGCAGGACGTGTGGTTCAAGGATTTCGGTGATGTACCTGTCAACTAAGTCAAAACCATCTTTAATCTTATATTATTATTATTATTATTGAATTTACAGTCAGATATTTCTAAATCTGTCCTTACGTGGCATTTGAGTCTCAAGAAAACAGATTAAAAAATAAATCTGTGAAATCTTGAATCTATCATCCAATCTATGTATTTTTCAACTTTAGGACTTTATTAGAATATTGAATAAATTATGTTTATATTATAAAAATATTGCAAAACAAGGTATATTACTTGCTGTAAATGGCATATAATTTGTGCAAAAGTATAAATAATATAGGGACTAGCAGTTTTTGATGTGTATGTAAATTGCAATACACTCAGTATATTAAAATTTAAAAAGAGCTAAGGTAATACATATAGGGTGTTACGATGTATGGAAATAGTTGTGGAAAATGAAAAAGAAGAAACTTTTGTTTTGAACAGAGCTATCCAAAACAATTTTTTTCTCTTGAAAATTTTTGGGTAGGTAAAAATTCCGATAAATGTACAAAGGGCGTATTATTTTTTTAGCCGATTTCAAAAAATAAATTAAAGTTTGATTCCAACAGCTTTTGAAGGGCTGTAAATTCTTAGGGTAGGCCCGAATAAAATATTTGTTCACAAAACACCTTCTTTAAAATAGGTTAATTTTCTTCAATTATTGTCAAAACACTCTGTATATTTCAGAATAATAAATGAGTTTTCTTTAGTTTGTCAAACCAGTTTAGAAATAATTGTACATGTTAGTAATGAACTATTTCAGAAATTTGATCGGGTCCAGAACATAACCTTAACTCTGTAGGCTTCCGATTAATTAATTTCTTTTATCGGACTTCTCGTTATTGCTTAATTCGGGCCTGTATGGCCGAAGGGTAGGCGGGAAATGTATAGTGGAAGAGCATTCGGACATATATCCAATCAGTTCCATTAAAATTAATGAAAACCCCTCGATTAGTTGATTCGGTTCGGGAAACTTTATTAGGACAAAAGACTTTTGGGGCAATTAAAACTTTAATGATACACTTTTGTTGATTGAGAATTTCCCTCCAAGTTCGTAAAAATACCAACAAGCCAGGCGTTTCATTTCAACAAGAAGCTTTTTTATGTGAAATGAAAATTTTACATTGCAATATATGAGATAGGCTATACGAAACCGTACCTCAATAAGGCATGGGGGTTGTAGACAGTGATCTCCGATAAATGAGAAAAAAATAACAACACTGATGTATTTGACACCCTTAAAGGCTTACCCGCATCAAATTGCAACGTATTACATTATTTTTTCTGCCATATAATGCAGGTTTTGGAACTCGTTTCATTTTACGTCCGCAAATACTTCGCGGACTGAATAGGCATGATGACAGATTTTGAAACACTGTTCTATGATGTTCAGAAGTAAAAAAAGGTTTAGTAGAAAATTATTGACATTTTAATTTTAAGTCTAAACTCACGCGAAAACGGTCGCCGATGTCACGGCGTCTACGTGACGTCACATCTATGTTTATCAACAGTAAACATAAGGTGCTAATACTTTGTGCTGCAAGATTCATTAGTTAAATAAAAATACAAAGTTACCATAACAGTATATGCGTTTTATTTACCCTCAAATTGTACTTTGGTATAATAATGGATACACATTATCTGTCCATGAAGAGACTATAGTCTGTTTAGAAATAAAAGAGAGTAATAAAAGCTCATTATGTATGCAAATCGTAAATAAATGTAGTACTGGTGTTTATATTCAATATTTTTATATTATGTTTTATCGGTATAGAAGAGGTGTACTTTTAAAAAAACTTTGTGCGATCGGACTGTACTAAATTGTAGCAGGTAGCTAAAATTTAATCCCCGACAATCAGTCTTTGTCTATGCCGCTTTCTCGGTCCATTTCTCTTATAAGTAAACAATATAAAAACAGCATTTCAAAACATGAGGCTACTTTAAGCATCATAACCGGGTTAAGAGGGTTTTTAGTAATTCAAATAAAATTATTCAATATTATTATCAAAATATTTATTTAAATTTAATGAATAGACTTTTATTCCACACAAAAATATATGTATTTTGAAAATTCAAATTATGGTGAGTAAATGTAGTGTTGTATAAATGTACAATAAAGAAAATAAAAAAGTAGGTATATTAAAATTCATCCTCTGAATATTCTGATGAATTATCTTCGTCTCCTAGATTGATAACGATAGGTTCCACAGTAACGTCAATTAAATTATCGAGTTCCCACATTTTCTCCTCTTCTTTTTGTACATGATGTATACATCTTTGCCAGTTATCTGCAGTTACTCGTTCCAAGGAATTTTTTAACAAAATTTTCACGTCACTTAATTTAAACGTCGTATTATTTCGCGCTACATCTCCTTTTACCTGCGCCCAGACTAATTCGATTGGGTTAAGTTCACAGTGATAAGGTGGTAACCGTAGTACCGTTATTTGGCGATTTGTTGCCATTTCATCGATAACATATTTTTTCTGATCTTTATTAAGATTGACAAGTGTCAAAAGTTCCTTTTTCACCATATTTGTTTCAAAAGAAATGTTTTTTCCGGATAACCATTGAATTATATCGGCTTTCCTCCAAGCAGTCGTAGGCGTCCGCTCGGTCTGCCGTGAATGGTAACTGGCATTATCCATGACAATTACAGACCCCGGAGGAATAAGATCCAACATCTGTGTAAAATACTCTTCGAAAACATCTGCGTTCATGTCTTCGTGATAGTCACCTGTATTTTTAGATTCAAATAAAAGTAAACCGCCATCTACAAAACCACTGGCACTACCTATATGTGTCACTATTAATCTTCGCCCTTTACCTGAAGGTGCCTTGAACCCTGTTGAAAGTCCATCCAAAAATGCTTGTCGAAAACTTTTTACATTTTTATCTTGCCATACTTTTGTTACAGTATATCCCTCGTTGACCCAAGTTTCGTCTAGATAATAAATATTCCTCCCTTCGTCACGGAATTTTCTAATTGATCTTAAGTAGGATCTTCGCCAACAAATAATTTCATCTTTATCGATAAGAACTGACTTCCTGTTCTGCTTTTCCCAGCAAAAATTCAACTCTCGTAAGACGGCCCATAATTTGCTTCTACTGATTTTTGGCAAATCGTTGTCCTCTGAAAGTTCACTTAAAATTTTGTTTAGCGTTGGTATTTCTTTTTTAAAATAAAATGAGTGTACTTTTCTGCGAATGACATTTTTGAAGAAATCATCTATAACGACTTTTGACCTCCCTGTAGATGATTTTGGGGGATTTACAGTATCTTGTTCATTTTTTGTTTCCTTTAAAAGTCTGTAGATAGTCGATTTTCCAATCCCTGTCATTTTGGAACACTTTTCCACGATGTCGTCAACACTGTTGGTAGGATTTTGGTGTTTCAATGGATTAAATACATTTAATATAATCTTCTGATTCTGAGACAGCGCACATCTTTTCACGCCCATGGCCGGTTCTTATCTCGGGGTTTTATTACTCTCCTTCATTTCCAAACAGAGTATAAAAAATTAAGAAAATCTGATACATATTTGTCATCAAATGTAACATAAATTATTTCTACTTTTTTTATTTGTACTGTAGTTGCAATCAGCTACACCGAAAGAGCCCTTTTGAAGTCCTGTTAAATACATTTGTAGCTGCCATCTGCACATAAAACTTCTGGGTCGGTTTTCCTTTTTCCGCATAATTTTTAAAACTCATCATAATCGTGGTACACTTAGTTTCAATAATACTGTCTTCACAGATTTCATCAGGCGATCCTGCTATCATGGGATAGTTCTTGCAAAGCATTATACCACATTTTTAATTATTTCCTCAGTCTGGTACTTACAGTTTTCCTCAGTTCATCACCCAGCAACATATCGCGTTTCATGGCCGATGCATGTGACATTTTTCCTTCCATTATTAACATGATCAGAGTTGCATCATTGGTTTTGCACTGACTAAATTCAAACGCTCGTAAGGCCGTTACTCTGCCATATCTTAACTCACGCCAAAAACAGCTTTGATGTTGGTCTCGTCTTCCATTTTCATGTCATCTTCATCAATCAATATCAAAATTGTGTCGCAGGACTGTTCTCTGTGTTTTAGCACCAATTTATGCATGGATAAACTTTTGATCACAAACATAGTCTTTTTGATATTTTATTAACTCGCAGTTTTTGAACTTTCTTTTCTTTCCTTTTTCTAGAAACTTTTCAAATACCTAACGTTTCCTGATTATGGTTTTGGTAACACAAAACTAAGCAGCTGATAGTTGGGAAACACAAAATATTTAAATAAAGATAAATACTGCGGATATTGTCGAAGTACAAATGAAACAAAATGACATTTACATAGATGTGACGTAATTCGCTTTGATTGGTGTTCAACCTATCATGGCGGTCTGCTATATTTTGTAGTTTATCAACAATATTATCAATTTCGCTCATAATATATAAATAAATACGTTTTTTATAATCCATGAATCATATTTCAATGGATAAATACATAATTTTAGTGATTCTTGGTTACTGTCATCATGCCTATTTCACGTTCGCTGTATCGAGAAACAGAATAAACCAGCGGTCATGGGCGATAATCAAACGTGAAGTAACTGAACCTACGAAGTATTTGAAAACGTAAAAAACTTGAAACATCTGAAAAATTTGTAATGAAACTCGATCTGCAGTTTTATGATAAATAAGTATTTTGGAGAACATATGACTAAAATTAGTTTTAAATAAATGAACTTTGACGTCCTGTATCTGAGAAACAAAGAACGACAGTTCAAAGTAAATAATTTAATTTTTTTATATTCTATCAGTTCCTGAAATTATGGTACCTTTTCCATAAAAGTTATTTAAAGTTAAGTACTACCCATCTCTTTGTTAGCATACGTTTTCATAGGTACAGGATTCATGAAAGTAGCTTTATCTTTGATTTGATTTATCGGCTTTATTTTAATTTCAATTTAATATTGTGTACTGTTATATCTAATCCATAAAATAAGCTCAAATCTGTACTAGTCTAATTTGGTAAATAAATAAATTTTATATCGCTACGTTACATTCATTAAATAAGCAGAGATTATTTGAAATTAATTATTAATTTAATTATAATTCATCCATTCGTTAAATTAATTTTTGAACGTGAAGCTTTACAGTGACAGACATATTTAACTGCAAGTAATTAATATTTCATATTGTTTTGTTCTCTGATAAATTTAATTATCTAAATTGATGATAATAAAATTGCCTACTTCGTTTTATAAAAGTATGTAAAGTTAAACTAAGTGCATGAAGAGATTCGAACTCGTTTCAAATTACATGGCTACATCTCTAAAAAAGGCCAAATGACTGTAAAGTAATAAGAACTGTTTTCAAAAGAACAGAAAATAATTTTCAGCAAGATAACTAATGGGCATTATTTATTAGGGGAATATTCCTTTTATTCCTTTACATAATTTTGTGGGAACTAAAACACCTCCCTCCTCTCCAAAGGAGTCGAATTTGAGTCACTATATTGCATTGCCTACAAATTCTGATTTTTATATAGTAGGTGTTCCTAGTTTTATAATTGAACTGAATAGAACTGAAATTAAAAGTTTAAGAACTATTGCTAAAAATGTTTGTTGAAAATATTAAGTGGTGTTACATCTAAGCCTCTCCAAGAAATCTTTAATCAAAAATAAGAGTAGATACCCTTGAAGCGGATACAAATAATCTTTGACAACAGATTTAAACAATGAAGAAATATATCATCACTGTATGAAACATTGTTTGCGGTAAAGGATATGTCACTCCTGCAAAATAGAGCGTTGAAATATCAAGCATTACGCTTTCACAGTTTGCTAAAATTTCCTTTTTCTTTTTTAGAGCACAGATTTGGCAAATTTATTTGCCCCACCAACTGGAGGAGATGTGTTCAAATACAAACCCAGGTTAAAACTGAAGCAAAAAGTCAACCCAGCACTAGAAGTAAGTACGTTCGTTTGTTATTTTTTTCTATTAAGTTGACTAAATATCCCTTCCGTCAAAGATGTATCGCGATTACTATGAATTGTTACTCAATTAATTTTAAATATTTAGCACAGGCTAAGACAGCTATTACAGTATGAAACTGTGGTAGCTTCCATGGCATTTCATACTTGCATAGGGTAATTTTTCATTACTCACAAGGAAGGTTATAAAATTGTCAGTCACCGATTTCAATAAAACTTCGCTATGTTGTAAAGGACAAAAAATACGAGACACGTATATTTTCTTTTTTGCCGATAAACATACATAGTTCAAAGTTTATCCCCAAAAACGGTTTTTTCAGGAAATCCCTTTCTTTGTTTATTGAATTATCGTACACTGTAAGTGTCGTTAGACCCTATAAAATCCATCTAGTTATTTAAACTATTACCACAACCTGTTACAATAAAACATTTATTATTATTAACTTATTACCATCACTTGGTCATACATAACTCAATAAGTTGTTGCGTCAAAATTGAAACATTATTACAATTTTAATTTTATTATGACAAATTAACTCTTAAAAATGCATATGAACAACCAAAATGCCAACTGAATATTATTCTTTAAAAAAATTAATAAATGATTTCAAAATCACTTTCGTTTTGGCAAAGGTTGAAAATAAAGATCAGCGTAATATTATCGGAATTTATTATATCTGTAACCGCAACTGTGAAAGAGCATGTATTTGTATGAATATCCTGAAAAAAATAGATCGGAATTTGTTTGAATTTTGGGCACTCGAGAAGCCTAGAAATAACTATGGACACGAGAATAAAACTCTAATAATTTTTTATTTTAATGCGTGGTGGTAATAGTTTAAATAACTAGATGGATTTCACAGGGTCTAACGACACTTACGGTGTACGATAATTCAATAAACAAAGAAATTTAAATAAAAAATTTGGATAAATTTGGAACGAATACACTGAAGATGAATTTTTCGAGACAAAACTTCTGAATCTGGTTCGGTCTGAGGCAGTACAGTATTGGGGGTCATGAAGACTTGCAAAAAATGTAATAAAATTTCCAGGGTCGTATTTAAAAAATTAAATTGATGAGGGTTCTGGACCGACGAAACGTTTCATATAAAAATAGATTATGCCATTCGATAGAGGGCATGAGAAAGTCTTTTTTTCAATATCACCTCAAACAAGGCTGAAATGAAACAAAAACAGATTTCCAAAATTTCGTTTTTTTCCAAATATTTTGAAAACTAATCATGTTAGCCTTGATTTTTTAGAGGCATAATGTTGGTCCGCTAATTACGCAACTTTACTCTCATTTAAGCTAGTTTATATCTCTCACCGTTTTCGAGATGCCTGTAGTGAGAAGCGAATTTGTAACAGCCTGTATAAAACGGACATAGTCGAATGATTTTTTCGTCGTTTTATGAAAATTTATAAATTTCCTGTGATAAAATAAAAACAAAAGGATATGGGATCAAAATCACCACCGAAATTCATCCTCTAAACAGTTTTTTCACGATATCTGTGATTATAAGCAAACTTTTTTTAAACCAAAATTTGCTGTACAAGAACTTCAGTACAATCACAAAAATAGTGGTTATTTCATTTTGAGGGTTTAACTATTCCCATAGAGTGCATTCCAGAATAATTTTTACCCTTATGAAATATAGGGGATGCAACCCCTGAGGTTCGAAATACTGTACATAATATCGACGATCGATAATAAACAATCTCCAATTATTGGTTAAAAAATAAATGTAGGTATAGAAAATGTTTGTCCACAGAAAAGAAAATATACATGTTTCGTATTTTTTTTTTTTTTTTTTCATCTACAACATAGCGAAATTTCATTGAAATCGCTGACTGTCACTTCGATAACCTTTCTTGTTAGTGTGGTGTCAAAGTAACCAATGATCTAGTGTGCAATTTTACATAAAATACATATAAATGTACTCTGTATTACAATTAATATATTCTATTTACTAACATTGTCTTCGTAATAAATTATTATCTCTCTATCAGGGTGTAGCTCGCGCTTCCGCCTAACCATTGTTGTACTAAACAAGTGCAGACTACCCCGTGAACCGTTTCATTAAAATCCGGTTCAGTGTGTAATAATTTACTTAATACGAGCAGCTAAACGGCTCCTCGTCATGCATACGGCGAGATGTATTCACGTGATTAATCACTTTAACATCAAGGAGTTTAACTCCGTTTAATTATAAAATTTTAATTAATGTAGTGCTCTCGGCCTCCTAGTTCTCCCATTAGAACAGGAAGATGTTCATAACCTACTTAATTTTAGGCAGGCGGGCTGCCGAGGCAGGTAACGTTTCCATTATCGCATAAGACCCGGTCGGTGCTTCCCCGGGATGAAGTAATCGGATTTTTAGTGTTCCGTGATTAGGAGTCTCGTCGTTACGGTGTATATAGCTTGTTAAGGTTAAGATCAGACACTCCACTCTTCCAGATTCATCTGCAGGTGACGGTAGAGTCTATTTTCATTTTCCTTGTATGATTTTTTAAAGTTTTGCACAAAATATTTAGTACATATCATAGGCGTACGCATTATTTATTACAACGCAACAAATTAAATTGTCCACCATAAACACCAACGGACAAGAATTAATGGCAACACAAACAAAGGCAACAGTACACTAACGTGACGTGAACGTGAAAAGCATTCTGAGGCAGCGGCTCACGCATGTCTCCGTTGACTCGCTTGGTACGCCATTGAATTGCGGCTCTCTCTGACAGCTTTACATATCTAGCACTTCTTTTATTTTCGGTCCTTTTGGGCAAAAAAGTACAAGACATGTACTTCATTTCAAATTACCGCATCCTATAATTTATGAGTTTGCTTTTATAAAAGTTAAATAATTTCATAAATGAAAAAAAATAAGCTAAATTATAATGAAAACTTACAAATATGAGTTTATAGAATCACAGCAAGGAAATCTGCCAAACATTACCTTATTTAAAACCATTAAACACTGCTTTTGTTGAAAATGAAGTAGATATATGATAATGATAATCAAAAAACATTTAAGAAATCGAAAGCAATAGAAATATTGTATCCAATGTGACGTTAGTACTTTCTAAGTCCTCCTCTGCTCCTAATTATCACATTCATACGCCCAGGCATGCTAGAAATTAAATTTCCAATTATATTAGGCTATTGATTATAAGATTTAAAAAGGAACTATGAGGTTCAAGATATTTTATTACATGAATCGTTCAAAGGGCCATTTTAGATGAAAAAAACCGCGGAGTGCTATTAAATTAGAAAGTGGAAATTGGAGATAGGGGTGAAAATGCACCCCTTTCAGTTTTTAAATGGTAGCTCGAAAACGAAGAAAAATTTTGCTATAGTTTATAGGAACAATTATTTAGAGAATTGAATTTCCCATCGAAATGGCTTATTTAAAAAAATTAAGAGGAAAATTTTATGCAAAATATCGTTAATAAACAACAGGTGGAGAAAAAAAGCAAAAAATTTGATTTCTTGATTTTCTTTACTTTTTTGCCTCTAGTTTTTTTATATAGTTTTTTTTTTACTTTTTTGACGAAGTTGTGAAAACCTTTATTTATTAACAAATAAAACTTTTGAAATAATTTTTTATTAAGTAAAGAACCAATTTGTTGTAAAAATAATAAGAATCATAATCATTATTATGTTAAAAACAGTGAAAATCTAAAAAATATTTAAGTTTGACCGGTTTTAACTCAGTTAATATTAGTCCAAAATCTTTTGAAAACGTATCATTTTGAAGGGAGTCTCATCAGTTTTATTGTACAGCAATTTTCTTTGCCTATTTCTACAAAAAAAAATAGTCAAAAAAAGTAAAAAAAATCAAAAAATATTATTTTTTGCTTTTTTAAAATTGCTTATTAACGATTTTTTGCATAAAATTTTCCTTTTAATTTTTTTAAATAAGCCATTTCGATGGGAAATTCAATTCTCTAAATAATTTTTGGTGCCTGAACGAGAGAATCTTTGACTTGTTCTCTTGTAAAAACGTTTGACTTTTTAGATGTATAGCCGTCATTTTTACGTTTCAAAAATGCTCTCAGCTTGGTAGACCAGTGCTTAAGCCTTCAAAAATGGTAAAAAGTGAAAAAAAAATTATAGTAGGATGAAACCCATTGAAAAATAAAGAGAATATAACAGAAATGAAAGGAAAAATAATTTACGGGCGATCTGTGGTCGGGAAGGGGTGAGTTTTTAAGGGTAAAAAACGGTTTCCCTTGATTTCCGGAAAAACTACAAGTCTTATGGAAAAAAGTTTGAATTTTTCACATAAATTTTGAGGTTATGTGAAAAAAGTGTAAATACAAAAGTTGTAGATCTTTTTATTACCTACAACTTTGCCATTTAACTTTTTGCCATAAGACTTGTAGTTTTTCCGGAAATCAAGGGAAACCGTTTTTTACCCTACAAACTTTTCCCCCTTCCCCTTCCCGACCTCAGATCGCCCGTAAATTATTTTTCCTTTCATTTCTGTTATATTCTCTTTCTTTTCCAATGGATTTCATCGTACTATAATTTTTTTTGGTTTCAAAAATTATCGACCCTGGTCTATGGGGTATATTGATATATCGACGTTTTCCTCTATGAAAATAGTTGACTTAATCATTTGAAATCACTCATTCAGAAATAATAATTCAATACCAGCAAAATTGCAACTCTTATGTCGCTTTGTTTATAAACACCTTAGAAACGACAAAATCCAAACAACCAAGGCGACTTTGTAAGATTTAGAATAATGTCAAAATGAATTGTTTAAGAAATGTGAAAAAATAAAACCTAATCTTTATTTCATGAACCATAAAGAACTATGGGAGCAGATAAAATGTTATACACCATGCAGCAGTTAAGTATAATTTTCCAGTCTCGGACTCTATTGCCAGCCTTCGCTCCGCTCGGGCGCAAAATCGTCCTCGACTGGTAAATAATACTTACCTCTTTTATGGTGTAAATAATAACTA